AGCATGCAGGGCCACGGGAGCATGCAGGGCAACGGGAGCATGCAGGGTCCCACAAACCACCACCTCCGTTATGTCCCGAGACCAGCACCACTGGCCCCACCTGCACCGACTTAAGTCAAATATTTAGATACTCATTTACTTTACTATTTTCATCTATGCTACTTTTAATACATTTTTTAATTTCAAAGCAAAATCTGACGCTTATAGCTCTATTCCATTTCTGCTAATAGATCCCCTGCAATGCTACACACTGGCCCTTTAAATAAGTAATCTGAACATATCATCGACCATTACTGAGCACAACCACCGATTGGGTGGGGGGGTCTGACACTGACACCCACTGAGGTCCACCCACTGTCTGTCTTTGGTGGACAAACCAGTAACACCCCCCCCCCCCCCCCGCACTGACGGCTACCATTTAAACCAGCATTTAAATGACTTGGTTAAAGGGATTTCTGTTGCATTTCTTGATGAATCACAAGCTTGAAGTAATGTGATCAAGATCTAAATTAACGAGAGAGAGAGAGAGAGAGAGAGAGAGAGAGAGAGAGAGAGAGAGAGAGAGACAGACAGACAGACAGACAGACAGACAGAGAAAGTCATCAGCGTGAAATGTTTCGGTGAAAATACGAGACTCGTTATTTACTCCGGCTGACAGAAACCACAAACCACTCTTGGCAGGCCATTTTTTTCCCACTTTAACAAACGCTGGAAGCCGAGCCCAACATGTAATTCCTGGGGACAGCGGCGCAGGTGGTCACAGCTCAGAGGCAGCAGCACCTACGGGGTGAGAGAGGCGCCCGACTCAAGTGCTGTGTCATGTTCAGAGGTACGAAAAAAACGCAGTTAGAGAGCACGGCTTTAACTTCTGCTAATCCGCAACTATACAGAACGAGGTCTGTGTTCCGCACGGCAGCTTTAGAGCTCGCCTGTCAACAGTGACGCGTACAAAAATAAATAAATAAAGCAGGGGATCGTGTGTTTTGGTGGCCTGATAGGAGGTCAGAGTTTCTGCACGAACACACACAGGCCGCTGCAGAACATGACCAAGTCAAAGTGGCAAGACTGCAGGAGCTCTGCAGGGGTGTTGACTTCCTCCACCAGGAGGACGAATGATGGATTTGTCCCGGTGCAGGGAGACAGAGTCCCACCTCTCTCTGCCGCGGTCTGCTGATGGTGATGAAGCTGTGTTTAACCGTCTTTATCTGTTTGTCCCGAACACTGCGCGTGAATCCAGTAGTCCCAGCTCAAGTTCTCAGGTTTGGACCTCTCTGCTCGAAGATCGGAGGCTTGTAGAATCACTAAATCGTGTTTCTTAAAAGCCTTTTATTAATGTTAGCCCAACATTTTATTCTGCCATTTCGTTTGTTTTTTGTTTATTTCACTTTTTAAATATCTTCTCTGTACTTTGATTATTTGCTTAATTGTATTTATTTAAATTTTCTTATCCCTATGAAAAGCCCTTTGCAGCTTTGTTTTAGGATGGTGCTATATTAATAAGGTTTATTATTATTATTGTCATTATAACTACAAAAGTGTTTCCTTTTCGGGCTGGATGATAAACCAAATCAATTTACATTACTGGCATTGACAATCTCCTGCAGACCTTAAATTTACTCTCATGCCTATTTTCAATAAATAGATAAATTAAAAAAATTAGCGCAGTGGAACAAGCTGTCAACACGGTTAGCCTAAATTACAAAAAAACATATTTCTTGTGATTTACAGTGTTTCTTCCAATAATTGGCCTGCGCTGTGTCAGAGAGGAGTTAAACATTATATTTGAAAGGTTCTCTATTCGATATTCAGAGCATCAATATAGCATCAAACAACTATTAGGTTTCCCCATCAGGTAAACACTGTTAGCCATAGTTTGCGCTGTTAGCGCCATATGCACCGTTAGCTGCACGGCTCAGCCGTCGTCATGTTGAAAGACACAGATTTGGCTTTTAGCACCTTTAAAGCCTGGAAACATTAAACCAAAACTACATCTGCATGCTATCTAGCCATGCAGATATAGTTTCCATAAAGCACGTGAACCAACTCTTTAAAGCTGAGCCTATAAAAACATAAAGCTTGCCGATAAAAGTCTGAAGCATGAAGCAAACTGTGTTCTTCTTTTGGTTTGCTGAAGTGAAACTGCTGCGAGCACACAAATCATAAACAGGAACTGCATTTTGTTTAAGCGACTCCCCCTGGGGGCCATAAAGACAGGGCCAAGGGGTTGAAGTACATCAGAAGTTTCCATCTGCTTCTGAAATGTATTGCTCTCGCACACTCTCTCCCCCTTGCCCTCCTCTCATGTCTAGGGAGGTCGTTTTTCACCTGGCTGGTGAAGCGCAGGGGGGGGCATGAGGGGGGGGAATCGGGTGGCAGCTATCCTGCAACCCTGCTCACTAAAGTCTGGGCTCCTCCCAGTATTTTTCTGCACTTGCTGCTGCTGCAGCGCCGCTTCCGCAAACTTCTACATGTGCCGCAGCTTCCTGCTGAGTCAGCATCATCAACTACCTTCCTTCTCCCCCCTTCGCTCTTCGCTTGATGTGTTTCTCAACACAGTATGTCAAGCTGCATTTCATAAAATGGGTCTGTGCCAACTCGGCTGTGACCGCGTGTGCGCGTCCGCTTTGCTCTCGCCCCTGCAGGGAGGAACTTTCGAGAACACGTCTGTAATCTCGTGTTTATGTGTGGCGGGGCGGTCCTGTTGTTCCTGTGCGCATCAAACCCTTTGCACCCTGCATACGTCAAGCAGGGACAAAATAAAACGCTGTTCTTGCTAAAAGGAAGTTCGGCCCGCCTGTAGAGGAAGAGATAAAATGCCCACACACTGCTTTTCTTGTTCCTACTTTCTTTTTCTTATTTTGCATTTCATGTAGACCATGTTTCGACCCCCAGATCGTCTCCCTTGAGGCCCCTTAACAAGGCTCCTCAAGGTGTGGATCATCACCTTTGCCAGAGTGGGAACACTATAGGTCAGTCATGTCCTTATGAAATAAAAGCATAGGGGACGAGAAAATCAGCTTGCAGGCATTTTTCCTTGTTTGGCAAGCCTGAAGAAAGCACCCGTTATCGACCCTTCAGCTCCATCAGCCCATCGTGATGCTCCAACCACATTTTCGCAGCCTATTAATACCCCATGCGTTAAAGCCTGGCCCCGCCATTCAAAAGCACATTGACAAAAGCGTGGATTAGAACTCAACCTCACTATTCCTAGAGTCCAGAGTCTAGACCATCCCATGTCCCAGACAGATTGCCCAATGGAGTTGAGGATGCTGCCTCTAATTGCCTCTTGATTACTGGACCGCAAGACAAAGGGAGGAGGAGGAGGAGGAGGAGGAGAAAGGAGGGAGGTGGGCGACACTTCATTTACTACACAGCCGGGGCGCGTTCAAGCAGCAGGAAGATTAATTAGCCGCATATTGTGATTACTTTCGTGACATCCACTCACTCCGCACGCGAGGATAGAGGAGTGGCAATTTTTTTTTATTGTGGCCCGGCCGGCATACCCCCCCCCCCCTTTCCCGGGAACCGCTCTGCCCTTTCTCCCCACTAAACATGAGAGGTGAAAACATCTCATATTTACGTTTATTCGCCTTTAAAAATGGACGCGCTCTAATGCATACGCAACTGTATATACGGTGGTCGCGAGGACTTTGTGCGTGAACAGCTGAATACATGAAAGCTGAATAACGGCACCTCTCATTCCGCATACCTGTGAAGTGCTGCAGCGTCGTGCCTTGCACCCAAAGGCTCAGCACTTGCTGCACCGACAGATTAACAGAATAATCCCTGTTCGTTGTCATGTTTCTGCCGCCACCGCTGCCGCCGCCGCCGCCCGGGTTCGCCCCCCTCTTTATCGAATAGCTGTACTTGTCTTTAGACGAAGGCATGGAGGAGACCGGAGTGGCATGTGGTGGGATGTGAGGCGGCTCTCCCCGGCGCGGCTCGCCTCTACCGGTGCCTCTGCTTCGGTTTTACGTCCGTCTCCGCTTCGGGAAGGGAAGGGCCGCTGGCTGGTCGGTTCATCCTCGGTGGTGTCGGTGGCGGCTGCGCGGAGGCCATGACGGGGGATGGCAGCGCGAGCGCAGGGTAGGCAGGCAGACGCGCGGTCGGCTCGTCCTACATCTAGCCCGGCTACATAACCCTTAAAGGGCCAGTCGACCGCTTCTTAGAGGGGAGGGTCGCCGTTTACGTTGATATATCTCCGGCTTACTGACGTCGCTCCGTGAAGGGGGAAAAGAGGGGACGCAAAGAAAAGTGTAGCAACGTGATCACATCACTGCACATTGGATGAAATTTGGCTGTAAATTAAATACCATAATAACACATTTGGTTGTATCATATATATATATTCTCTTATTCTCTTTAAATATATATATATCTATATATATATATAGATATATATATATAGATATACTGTGTATATATCTACATATCTATATACTGTATATAGATATGAAAAAAGTTCTACATCGATATCAAATGACGTGCCAGCTACTACCGGGTGTTGCCCATGACGACGAAGAGATGCGGGAGCTCTCCGTGGTGCTGATTGGCTCACCCCCAAAACGCCTGATATAGTAATAAAAGATATGATAGGATGGATGAGAGGGAGGCACAAATGAATGGTGATGCTTAGTGGCAGGTTTAGGATAAAAAAAATAATCCAAAACATGACTTACCAAATGTTTGAATGGAAGTATGATAAGGTTAAATGTTGAAATAAATCCAGATTGTTTTAAAGATGAGGTGGACTGCACTGTAGATCTCACAGAGCACATACCTCAAGACTAACAGTGAGAATCAAATTGCCCCGTCAGCCCCCAGTAGGATTAAGACAGAATCTGTAAACAGATGAAAGCTATTTTAAATAGTGTGAAGCTTTACACTTGTCCGACATCTTTTTCTCACATGGGGTTGAGCGTCAAAAAAAGCAAATGAAAAGTTGGATGTGGGAAGGCAGAGTAGGGAGCCTGGGTGTTATGTAGACACTGAATGTTCTGGAACATATTTCTCAGAGGAGCGCAGTATTTTAAGAAGTGTCCCAGTTCAGAGGTATGAGGAAAATCTCTGACGTTTGACATCTTGACGTCTTAAATGCAAAGGTTTACACAGTGGCATTTAATAGGCTGCTGGATCAGGGGGGAATTCATGCACACTCACATCTCACTATAAGTTCAGCTATTGAGGCAATAACATATGTAGACAACCGTTTAGTAATGCAGTGTATCAGTAAGCTGCAAAAAGGTATCGTTAAAGGAAGATACCAGGCGTTTTTGCACCTTAATTACAAATTCTGTACTTGTTTTAATGTTTTGTATAGGCCTGTATATCAGGGGTTAAAGAATAAGCCAACAGTTTAATTGATATTACCTGGGGTGCTAAAACAAAACAGGAAAATAATAAAAAATAGAGATATGATATTGCAAATGAACCCTTCATATTTTTCTCAAGCACGTCTGTTAATTTATATGCATACTATAAGGAAGTTGAATGAACATAATGAATGTGTGTTAAGGTAGAAAATCCATTTAAATGTCTGGTTAATTAATTAAAAGTGATGGTTAACTGTGATGCAATGAGTGTGGGATTTGATGTAAGTGGACTAAAACACCCAAAAAACGTTGCTATGATGCTTTTCCAACAATCCTGTGTAAATGCTTGCACCGCTGTAAGATAACTTAAACAATGAGTTAAACAATGTATTTGGATGTTTCACCTGTATGTGTGCAGGTTAATACACACAGGGATAAAACCACCAGAAAGAGTTGCTGCTGTTGAAATACTTTCACATCTCTTTCCCCCTGAACCATTCTGTTTCATCACAACCTTTTTCCAATATCCTCTTGCATCGCTCTCTGCCCCGAGGGCTTGAAAGAGACTGAGTAGTCTGAGGAAAAAGTTCAGGGAAGGTGTTACAGAAAGAAGAAAAACAACTTTTTTCCTTTAAACTTGAAAGCATCTGGACGAGCTGTGTTGTTATCGAATATCTCTCCTTGTGGTCTTCAGCGAAAAGCCTGCTGCAGTCCCTCATTGTATGAATCACATGACAGACATCATTTAATTCAATGATGACTCACCACCAGGTATTCAACAAGTAGCCTAAGCATCACACAGCACAAAGAAGCAATGGAATACGGAGCATTAGACTGTAATTCCTGCATTGTATTTAAAGTTGTGCTGTGGATTTATATGCACTGTTCTCTCACAACAGGAAAAAGATGTGCCACCTCACTCTGTGGTTCCCTGACAGCTGGTCTTTGGAGGGGAAACCACTAGAAAAGACAGCAACGAGTCACTGAAGCCAATGTTTGGTTAGCAAAGTAAATGTCAACCTTTGTTTCCTGTAAAAGCTCAAACGTTTCAAAGCAATGCACACACAGCTGACCACCAAGTTCTTTTTCTTTTCTTTTCTTTTTCAGTGAGTGTTCGTGAGTCCATATTCAGAGTTGAGACCATTTTGTTTTATAGAACGGTTTGATCAGAGCAAGCCAACATTCAGTTATTATCTAAAAAACATCCATCAAGTCTGGAAAATCAGCTGTTGTGTGGGAGGACATACGATCAATTCTTCCTGAAAAAGTTTGTGAAGGGCATCCGTCCCCTAAACAAAACATACACTTAAAAACAGGTGTTGAAAGGGCAAGTGTGATTGGGATATAAAATTTGAAAATTCTGGCGTTGTAGAGCAACAATATGTAACATGCCTGTCTTCATTAAGGTGTCAAACAACAGAATAAATATCATCATCAAGTGACCTTATGACCGTTGTGAATTAAGAACTCTATGGAATGTCGAACATGTTTATTGTTTGAGTTTCAAAGAAAAGAATCTTGACCTCAAGGTTGCTTGTTCTATGGCTTTCAATCATCTCACATGATCTTCTTCAGCACATTGAGGTTGCTCCGTTGTCATTGCAATGTAGATGTTCAGATTTCCTTTTATGAATAGAGGGCTATAAGAACAGCCCGTCCATGTTGGCCTATGAGTTTAATTTCAAAGTTGTAGGTCAGTTATTTCTTTTATAATACGATAAAGTTTTGCTTTAATGCAAACAGGATTTTTAAATTTGATTATTTATATACATGTTGTAAGTGTAGCGTGAAGGGGCGTTCAGTTGTAAATAAAAGAACCTTGTAACCTTGTTTGGTAGGTTTTGTTTCCTGCAAAGTGCTGATTGTGACTCGGGCTAAATAACAGGAAGTTGGTCTTGTATTTATTTCTACATCCTGCTACTTCCTGTTTATTACTTTTCTGTTAAAAAATATATATCTGCATCACAAGCTAAAACTTAACCCCTGACCTACTCACTTTTTGCATTTCCACCAAAGAGGCTAAAATGAATTCTCAGATGGGAAGTTGTGAAGTGGGGGGTCGGCGGGGTGAAATGGACCGCGTAGAGGGAGGCGGAGCTACGTGGGTGGGGGAGATGAAGGAGCGGACACATCAATGGTCATGGCAGAGGGATGAAAGAGCCCTTTGACTCCCCCACAGCTTCGCTGCATCTTTGGATTGATGTCAACTGTGTCGGTGCATGCATCAGAGAACAATAGATGCATTTACTTTAAGTTTACGTCAGCTAATAACCACAAATACAAGCTGAAAGATCTTTTTTTTTTCTCCTCCCTCATCCCCAAGAGAATCCAGCTTTGTTTATTGGAGGAGGGGCTCTTCAGCACGTGAAAAACAGAATAATAAAGTTATTAACATATCAAATGCAGTCTGTGTCGTGTGTAGATTTAATGACAGGATGCTAAGATAAAGAAAATTAGGTCAAAGCGTAATTAATGATCCTTGCTAATTAAAATGTAAAATGCTTTGAAATATAATCCCAATTAGAAAACTGCTCACTTTGATGGATTAGACGATTCCTCCAGTTGGCCAGTAGGTGGATTCCTTCTCCCATTTTTCTAACGTCTCCTTGCCTGTAGTTTTCCATAACAGTGCCGGCTTTCCTTCTCCAAAAAAAACATGTTTTGATGCAGACAAAAGGAAAAAAAATACAAAATAATCGCGGGTTAGAAGGTGATTGAAGTGACAATGTATGACTTATTTCACCTTGGCTTCATGAAAAATGTTGGTATTTGACTCCTGAGTCACTGCCACGGTCATTATCTCCATGTGTCACCAAGCAAAGGCTCCACCACATCTGTCACTGCATACTTTTGAACTGTCAGGCCCTGCTTTTGAAAATCTGCAAATCACCCCTTTCCCATGACGGGGCCTTGACAAATGTTTTTGTCTCAAATGGGGATTTTTCTTTTTTTGGGAGGGGGGGGCAATACGAGACGTCACTGTATCCAGATCCATGCCGGCATTGTGCTCGCCCACAGAGTCGGCCCGAGGTTCTGTACGGACCTGCAGCATTTTGGACCCATTATCTGAAGGGGTTTTTTGATCTTGCGTATACATTGAGCCTTTTGTGTCCATTGTTGCCTTGGTGCAACTGGATCTGCGAGGTGATATATCTATTCATCTGCGGCTGCCGTGGTCTTTCTCTCATTCTGTCTCTCACCAGGTTTTTTTTCCCCCCAGGCAGATGGCCTTGAATCAGGTGAGTCACCAGCAGAGCCCCCTCGTCTGGCTAACATCCCTGTCACAGTGAGGACTTTAACTGGAACCAACCGGCTGGGTGATGACTCAAGGTGCTGCTGCCTTAAGGTTACAAAGACATGCAGTCTCCTTCCAGCTGTGTGTTCTTTTTTCATTCAAAGAAATAAATCAAATGAAATCTCTCGAGAGGCAATTTGAGGGCAAGCAAGTTTACCAACACAAAAACGCACAAGCAATCTGTTGACATGAATAAAAATAATCTAAAAACAAAAAAACAATGGTAAGAAAAAGATGGAAAACACAATGGTTAATAGCAGTGGTACATCCGTAAGCCAACAAGTGCTAAGTGCATTTATTAATCTGTACACAGAAAATACAAACCACAACTGTTCACAAGTCTTACGCTTCTGGAATAAAACTGGACTTCCTTCGGTTGGTTTTATACACAGGCAATCTAAAAGTCTTTCTGCATGGCAACCGCATTCAAATACTTCAACATTATGGGGAATAGGTGCATCTGCTTTCTTGCTGAGATTTAAATAAGAAGATTGATGTAATCATTCCTCCTATTGTTTTAAGAAAACATTGTGAACCTATCCCTTAAAAGGGGAACACCACCAAATTCCAATATGTTATGTTTATAATTCAATCAATATCTTTTTA